GCTAGCGTTCGTCCTCCCGGGAGGATCCGCAAGACGGTGCGGGCTATGCCAAGCGAGAGGCAGCGGGGTTCCAGCAGCCAGGGTACGCAACTCTGAACTGCACGCTTTCTGACTGGAACGGAGCAGTAACCGAACGAGTAGAGATGACAGAGGTGCAGGAGATGATGGGCATGCTGCCATCGCTACTGCAGGCCGAGTCGGAAGGGCAAGGCCTGGAGGGGTCGGCGGCGCTGCAAGAGGGCGCCGCGGGTGCGGCGGAATTGGGGGTTCCGCCGAGCAGCCACCGAGAGCTGTATTCTGCGGTGGTCGTCAGGGAGGGCGACACTGCTGGAGGAGAGAGCAGCAGTAGGCCGGGCGTGGAAGGCGCTCTGGTGCGAGATGTGGAGGTCCCTGCTGCAGGTGGGTTTGGTGCATTCCAAGACACCAACTCTCTTCGTAGTACGTTCGGCAGTGCTTGCGTACAGCAGTCTGCTGCCGCTGGAGACACTGGTGAGAGTGTCACAGCAACCGATCAATCCATTCAGGGGAGGTCGGGTGGAGAATGCGGCACGGCGGAAGGGTCGTGTCCACTGTTCTGCCTTGCTGTAGTAGCGGGCGGGGCGCACAGAAGTCGCCGGAATTGATGGTGCAACAGAACGGACGGAGGGGCCGTGAAGTCGCGCAGTTTTGGCGCGCATTCCATCTGCGGTAAGGCGGTGGAGCAACATGAAAGGCGTTAGAGTAATCGGCGCAACAGAACGGACGGAGGGGCCGTGAAGTCGCGCAGTTTTGGCGCGCATTCCATCTGCGGTAAGGCGGTGGAGCACCAGGACGGTAGAGAGACCGTTGGGCAGGATTGCCGGAGACACTCAACCATGGATCGACCGCGCGACGGCGCGGGGGGGGGGGGGCGCCGTACATGCTTGATGCTGGCGGTGTTTTGTTAAGTCGATCCAAGGCCGGCAGTAGAGGCCGGGTACGCCCTACCACGGTTGACACGCGCGACGGCGCGTCGGGGGGTGGGCGCCGATCACGCGGGAGCGGGCGGCGTTTTTTGACCACAGCACGGACGGAGGGGCCGTGGCTGCTTTGCCTCGTCGTCGGAACGGGGGGGGCAGCATTATAAGGCGCGCGGAGGTGGCGCGCAAACCCAGCACGGACGGAGGGGCCGTGGCTGTTCTGCCTCGTCATAGGAGCGGGGGGAGTAGCATATTAAGTCGCGCGGAGGTGGCGCGCAACCATCAGCCGGAGGTGGGTGGTGGAACGGGGCACAGCTAAGTGGGTGTCATCAACGTCGCGTGGGGAGGTGCCGCGCGCATTTCATCAGCCGGGAAGGAGCGGTGGAGACAAGAATGCGTCAGGATGGACGTCAGGAATTAAAGGCGTGCTTCGCCATCAAGATGTGTTGGTGGAGTAGTTGGAATAAGCTTGGATTTTGTTGTCTTGTTTTGTGTGGAGGTGCCAGTTTGAGGTCGTGATGAAATCAAGCAACTTGTGTTCGAGGAAATTCTGTTCCCTGTTGCGTGTTTCTTTCCGCCGTCATTTGCGCGTTGTCTTGCACCCAAATCGTGGTTGTTCTGAATGATTGTGTTCGTCGTTATGCCTTTAGTGCATCCTTCGCCGGTGACGTTGTGTTGCTGGTGATAATGGCAAAGTGTCGGGGGGTAGAGACGTTCACGTTGGTAGAATTTTCTACTGAACCTTTCGTGATATGATCGGCGTGAGGCGTTGAATTTCTGAGGGGTTTTGATCCGGTGGCCGGGTTGTTTGTCGTTGTGTTAAGGTTTTTCGGACGTATTTTCGACGCACGAGAGGTTCTTCACTGGCGTAAAGAACCAGGGAGGGTGTTCGTGCGTAGAAGTAGATAGTTGAAAAGTAGCCGTTACGTAGGACGCAGCTGGGACAACTTGAAGGGTATGTGCTGAGAGGCTTTGGATGATAGTGCGGAGTCCCCGTGTTCTCTCGAGAATTGGGGCCTCTCCTCCTTCTCCCTCTCTCCTCTCTCATGCGAGCTAGTACACACAGTTAAACAGCAGCCCCAAGTCCGCCGGCCCTTAACAGGGCTAGGGCTCACGAACAACTGGCGTGCAACCAAGAAGGCGTCAAGTTACTCTCGCGTCTCAAATCCGCCCAAGCGCCAAGAGGTGGAAGGTGGCTTTCTAGCACCAGACGCGCGGAAAGAAGCAACTCGCGCTGCAGCTAGACAACAGCCCCACACGCGGCTCTACTTTGTCTAGAAGCTCAAGGTTTTGAAGCTTCTTGACCAGAAGGTAGCGCACTACTCAGAAATAATGCGCACAGGAAGAGATTGCTGAAGCTTTGCGTGAGGACGCGAATGACGAGGTCGTTGAAAATTGTCCATTATGTACATGGACGGAGGCCTAACCCCTCCGACGATGACCTAGAGCCAGGGCTAGATACCACGGCATAAGTTGACGATGCGGAGGGCAGGGTGGTGATGGCGCCGCCACCATGCATACATTCGGAGCTATCATCGGATTTTGGCCATCATGGAGAGCGCGGGGTCGTGTGGCGTAGGCGAAGCATGACACTTTTTTCGCAAGGCAAAAATGGCGTCCCTCGCGGCGCGCGCCGCTCAACCAGCGCACAAGGCTAATATCAGAGAGATTATGTTGGGGTAAGCATGATCGATACGTGACACGTGGCAGAAATTAGATGCCCAAGCACGTGGTTGGATGCCATTGCGTTGTCACAAGTTTGTCTCATCACCTTCAATTCGTCAGAGACGCGAACGATGTCCCAGTCTTGATGAGGGGATACAGTCCAGAAGGGAAAATTAGCTTCGTGCTTTTGGCGAATCAAAATGCACTATAAATGAATGTACTTTCGGCGTCCTCCTTCTTTGGCTCGTTACTTCTTCATCTGCACCTTCGTATGGCTGCTACAATTAGACACATGGCCCTGTCAAGATGAGCTTTCGACGCTGCTCTTGTATGGCAAAAATGAGCTTTTTCCCGGTTTAGCGGTGCATGACCGCTATTGAGCGTCCTGGTTCAGCGGTTAGTGACCGCTAAAGAGGTTTAGCGGCGATGGCCTGAATAGCGGGTATGAAATTTCGTGACACCATGGACGGCTAAACCGGGCCCACAACTGTAGTTTGAACAACAACTGATCCACCTCAATAAACGACGGCAACAACGAGTGACCCGTTTCGCATATCCCGCACCGAACAACCAATACACCAACAACGCGGCAAACGACGGTGGGGCGAGTTCCGCAAGGCGACAGACACCTCCCTTGCAGCTTTCTGCTGTGTTCAACACAGAATGACAGACAAATCGCGTCCATGACAATAGTCTAATGGTTGAAACGACAGCATGACAGCGCTCGCTTGTTTGAGCAACTAACATGCGTGGGACACCATCGGGCGCCAAGCAACGAGGAGAGGACAGGACATACCAACTGATGGCGATGACAGAGACAGACGGTCCTTGCAGTTACTCTGCGTCGTCGGTTGTTGGAGCACTTGGAGACAAGGATGATGTCGGCGTGAAGCGAACGGGAGCAAAAAAGCCGGCCCCGTCCTCACCTTCGTCCTCATCGCCAGCACCTGCGCACACTTCTGTGGGTATGTAGATCGCGACACCTGCTACGCCTGGTTCTACTCTACGGGATCGATGCATTGTATGTCTGTATCTCGGTGTGCGGCAGGCACACTGTGACTGTGTTGGCAGTCACTCGCTCACGTCGGTGATCAGACGTTATTTACATAGTCCATACAGCAGTTATTTACATATGCAGCAGTTGCCCTCCAGAGAGCACGTTGAAGAGGTGCAGTCCAGTCCGGCCTCCGGCCTCCGGCCACCGCCCCGGCGCTTCGATAACAGCACGCCAGCTAATCAGGTGGCTAGATTCACGGGACAGCACATCCAATGACCCGAAAGCAACCACCACATCACACGAACGACGGGCAGTAGACTACTCGGAAAGGTTCGACGTGGGCCAAGGCCTCCGACAGGGATGCAACCTGGCCCCGCTGCTGTTCAACTTCTTCTTTGCCGCGATGCTCATGGTCGCCGTGGCCGAGTTCGACAAGGACCCCAAGGTGACGGCGGACATGGTCAAGATCGGGACACAAGTGGAGTACACGGGCAAGAAGGGCTTGTCGGC